TGTGTCCCCTCTTCTATGTCTCTTCTACATCAACATGTGTCCCCTCTTCTTCTGTCTCTTCTTCATCAACATGTGTCCCCTCTTCTTCATGTCTCTTCTACATCACATGTGTCCCCTCTTCTTCATGTCTCTTCTACATCAACATGTGTCCCCTCTTCTTCATGTCTCTTCTTACATCAAACATGTGTCCCCTCTTCTTCATGTCTCTTCTACCTCAACATGTGTCCCCTCTTCTTCATGTCTCTTCTACATCAACATGTGTCCCCTCTTCTTCATGTCTCTTCTACATCAACATGTGTCCCCTCTTCTTCATGTCTCTTCTCTACATCAACATGTGTCCCTCTTCTTCATGTCTCTTCTACATCAACATGTGTCCCCTCTTCTTCATGTCTCTTCTACATCACCATGTGTCTCCCCTCTTCTTCATGTCTCTTCTACATCAACATGTGTCCCCCTTTCTTCATGTCTCTTCTACATCAACATGTGTCCCCTCTTCTTCATTCCTCTTCTTCATGTCTCTTCTTCATCAACATGTGTCCCCTCTTCTTCATGTCTCTTCTTCATCAACATGTGTCCCCTCTTCTTCATGTCTCTTCTACATCAACATGTGTCCCTCTTCTTCATGTCTCTTCTACATCAACATGTGTCCCCTCTTCTTCATGTCTTCTACATCAACATGTGTCCCCTCTTCTTCATGTCTCTTCTTCATCAACATGTGTCCCCTCTTCTTCATGTCTCTTCTACATCAACATGTGTCCTCTCTTCCTCATGTCTCTTCTACATCAACATGTGTCCCCTCTTCTTCATGTCTCTTCTACATCAACATGTGTCCCCTCTTCTTCATGTCTCTTCTACATCAACATGTGTCCCCTCTTCTTCATGTCTCTTCTACATCAACATGTGTCCCCTCTTCTTCATGTCTCTTCTACATCAACATGTGTCCCCTCTTCTTCATGTCTCTTCTACATCAACATGTGTCCCCTCTTCTTCATGTCTCTTCTACATCAACATTGTGTCCCCTCTTCTCATGTCTCTTCTACATCAACATGTGTCCCCTCTTCTTCATGTTCTTCTACATCAAACATGTGTCCCCTCTTCTTCATGTCTCTTCTTCATCAACATGTGTCCCCTCTTCTTCATGTCTCTTCTTCATCAACATGTGTCCCCTCTTCTTCATGTCTTCTTCTACATCAACATGTGTCCCCCTCTTCTTCATGTCTCTTCTTCATCAACATGTGTCCCCTCTTCTTCATGTCTCTTCTTCATCACATGTGTCACCTCTTCTTCATGTCTCTCTCTCAACATGTGTCCCCCTCTCTTATGTCTCTTCTACATCAACATGTGTCCTCTCTTCCTTCATGTCTCTTCTTCATCAACAGGGTCCCCTCTCTTCTGTTCTTCTACATCAACATGTGTCCCCTCTTCTTCATGTCTCTTCTTCATCAACATGTGTCCCCTCTTCTTCATGTCTCTTCTTCATCAACATGTGTCCCCTCTTCTTCATGTTTCTCTCTCATCAACATGTGTCCCCTCTTCTTCATGTCTCTTCTACATCAACATGTGTCCCCGTCTTCTTCATGTCTCTTCTTACATCAACATGTGTCCCCCTCTTCTTCATGTCTCTTCAACATCAACATGTGTCCCCTCTTCTTCATGTCTCTTCTTCATCAACATGTGTCCCCCTCTTCTTCATGTCTCTTCTTCATCAACAGTGTCCCTCTTCTTCATGTCTCTTTCCTTCATCAACATGTCTCCCCCTCTTCTTCATGTCTCTTCTTCATCAACATGTGTCCCCTCTTCTTGATGTCTCTTCTTCATCAACATGTGTCCCCTCTTCTTCATGTCTCTTCTCATCAACATGTGTCCCCTCTTCTTCATGTCTCTTCTTCATCAACATTTGTCCAATCTTCTTCATCGTCTCGTCTTCATCAACATGTTGGTCCCCTCTTCTTCATGTCTCTTCTACATCAACATGTGTCCCCTCTTCTTCAGTCTCTTCTTCATCAACATGTGTCCCCTCTTCTTCATGTCTCTTCACATCAACCATGTTTGTCCCCTCTTCTCATGTCTCCTTCTTCATCAACATGTGTCCCTCTTCTTCATGTCTCTTCAACATCAACATGTGTCCCCTCTTCTTCATGTCTCTTCTACATCAACATTGTCCCCTCTTCTTCATGTCTCTTCTTCATCAACATGTGTCCCCTCTTCTTCATGTCTCTTCTACATCAACATGTGTCCCCTCTTCTTCATGTCTCTCTTTCATCAACATGTGTCCCCTCTTCTTCATGTCTCTTCTTCATCAACATGTGTCCCCCTCTTCTTCATGTCTCTTCTTCATCAACATGTTGTCCCCTCTTCTTCATGTCTCTTCTTCATCACATGTGTCCCCTCTTCTTCATGTCTCTTCTTCATCAACATGTGTCCTCTCTTCTTCATGTCTCTTCTACATCAACATGTGTCCCCTCTTCTTCATGTCTCTTCTACATCAACATGTGTCCCCTCTTCTTCATGTCTCTTCTTCATCAACATGGTGTCCCCTCTTCTTCATGTCTCTTCTTCATCAACATGTGTCCCCTCTTCTTCATGTCTCTTCTTCATCAACATGTGTCCCCTCTGTGGAAAGAGACAAAGATTTTCTCTCTTTTTGATCCATTTCTATAAAAACCTGTCTGAAAATGAGCTGATCAGATTTTGGCCACTTGATGTCATAACGATGTTTTGTCTTGTGTAACCATTAGCCAATCAGCAACCAAGGTAACCCCCCCCCCCCTCCACCTTATCACCTGAATCTCCTCCTAGAGCACCATTGAGTTCTTTTGTAACCAAATCTCTCTCAGAGGGGCGTGGGGAGGGGCTCCTTATTTTCATCTAAAGTAACAGGACAGAGAATCAGCACTTTGGAAACAGGGCTGAAAAAGAGGGGATTATGGGTAATGCTGCAATGATCTGTTTGGTGTTTCAGCCAATCAAAGACAGGCTCTGGATATATCTGACACCTGGGATATATTGATGAAGAAGAGGATGATAGGGGACCTTAAAGTCAACGTAGATGGTGTATTAAGATGGTTTTTGGTTTCTAATTTAAAAAAATCAAATGTTTTTATTCGTATTTATTCCGTATTAACTTATTTTAAAAACATATTTTTCTTATTATTAAAATGTGAGTAAAGAAATTAAATCAATGTAATTCAGTAAAATAAATGGAATTATGTGGGACACTTTTTAAAGAATAGGAAAATCGAATTAAAAGTAAATTAAATAAATAATATAATGCATGACCCGTTTTGAGGAATCCTTTTTTTTAAGGAAAATAAATGAAATAACGTAGGACCCTTTTTAAATAAGGATATACATTTAAAAAAAATAGTAAAATAAATGTAACATTTTAAGACTCTTTTTAATGAATAATAATATATATTTAAAAATGTAGTTTTTTTAAATTATGGTTTCCCCCGATTATTGAATATTATTAATAATCACATTTGTCTGAAATAACTTGCAGCTGTGCATAAGTAGCTTTAAATAGAATAAATACTCGTGCAAACAAACCCCCTTTATCTCTAATCTCGTTCTCTCCATTCTCAAAGTATCAGTGACTTGCATCTGACTGAGCATGACTCGGCACTTTGCTGCACACGGCCGCGGCCAATGGTCTGTTGGAACAAATGCAAGAAAACAGAGAAAAATAGATGAGAGTAACACCTGCGTCACTTCAGGGCGAAAATGACGGCTCCGCCACTTTTGGGGGAAAACAAAGCTGTCGTCTGAATGGCGATCAATACAAACTGAAGTTTTTTGCCAATCCGATCAGAAATGTTTGAAACCATGGATTTGTGGATCTTCAGAGAGCCCGGTTACGATGTTCAGTCAGGCAAACTATTACATGAAATCATTGGAAATCCACGATCGGGCTCGATATATGGTTCAATTAAAATCAGTAGGCGAGGCCGTCATTTCTCCAGCTGTTACTCTCATGAGCGAGGCGGCCAACAAGCTGCTGTGTCGTTTATTGCACCTCAAACATTAAAAGTGTTTCTGTACTTCCTCTAAGAAAAAAGGACAGTACATTTATTTATTTAATCGTTTATTTGGCAGGGACAATGCACAGTAATGAACAGTAAAGTGACGTAGATGTTACTCTCATCTATGGACATCGATCGCCTACTGCTATATTAACCATATATTCGAGCCCGATCTTCGATTTCCAATGATGTAATGTACTAGTTTGCCTGACTGAACATCGTAACCGGGCCTCTTTGAAGATCCACAAATCCATGGTTTTCAAACATTTCTGATCGGATTGGCAAAACTTCAGAGTTTGTATTGACCCGCAATCAGATGACAGCTTTTGTTTTCCCCCAAAAGTGGGCGTAGCCGTACTTTTTCCCCCAAAAGTGGGCGGAAGCCGTACTTTTCCCCAAAAAGTGGCGGAGCCTTACTTTCCCCCATGTTTTACTCTCATGGATAGAATACAAAATATGTAAATATTTCAACCTTTTTATAAAAAATGTGGGAAACGTTTTAATATAAGTCTTGAAAAAGTTTTAAATATGTCTTGCTATTTAAATATAATTCAAAACATTACATATTTGAATACTTTATGCAAAAGTCATTCTACGGCTTGTTGTTCCCACTCACACATATTTACTACTTTATTCATTTCTTAATGTTTTAGAGGCCAAACAATCAGTTAATAGAGGAAAGTTGTTGAAATGATCCATCAAAATGTCCTAAGTCGACTTGTTCTGTCCGACAAACATCCCAAAACCTTCAACATGTTCAGTTTTCTGCCTTACAACAAAAGAAAACTGAAAAAGATTTCACAAATATTTGGAATTGTTGGTTGAAAATTGACTTTAAACGAGGAATAAATGTGATATTGTTCTGTTGTTTGACTTATTGTTCAGTCTGCTTTTCTTCACCTCTCTTTGAGGGTTTTTTGTGCGTTTGTGGTTCCTGATCTAACATGAATGACTGTGTGTGTGTGTGTGTGTGTGTAGGGCCTGGCCCAGCTGGAGATCCTGTGTAAGCAGCTGTACGAGACCACGGACTCGGCGGTGCGTCTGCAGGCAGAGAAAGCTCTGGTGGAATTCACCAACAGCCCCGACTGCCTGAGCAAAGTGCCAGCTGCTGCTGGAGAGAGGCAGCGTGAGTACACTGCAGCATGTCAGACTGTAACTTACTTTAAAGTGCATTCAGAGCTCAATCAAAGCACAGCAATCAATAAATACAAACTAACATTGAATATCTTTGTGGTTGCAGTCTTCGTACTCTCAGCTCCTCGCGGCCACGTGTTTGTCTAAACTGGTTTCTCGAACCAGCAACCCTCTCCCGCTCGAGCAGCGCATCGACATCCGTGAGTTCCCCGCCTCTACACTCCTCTTTCCATCTGTGTTCGACCTGTTGAGTATCCTCTACACTCCTCTTTCTATCTGTGTTCGACCTGTTGAGTCTCCTCTACACTCCTCTTTCCATCTGTGTTCGACCTGTTGAGTCTCCTCGTCCAGATTCTCTTTCCATCTGTGTTCGACCTGTTGAGTCTCCTCGTCCAGATTCTCTTTCCATCTGTGTTCGACCTGTTGAGTATCCTCTACACTCCTCTTTCTATCTGTGTTCGACCTGTTGAGTATCCTCTACACTCCTCTTTCTATCTGTGTTCGACCTGTTGAGTCTCCTCGTCCAGATTCTCTTTCCATCTGTGTTCGACCTGTTGAGTCTCCTCGTCCAGATTCTCTTTCCATCTGTGTTCGACCTGTTGAGTCTCCTCGTCCAGATTCTCTCCATCTGTGTTCGACCTGTTGAGTCTCCTCGTCCAGATTCTCTTTCCATCTGTGTTCGACCTGTTGAGTCTCCTCGTCCAGATTCTCTTCCATCTGTGTTCGACCTGTTGAGTCTCCTCTTCCAGATTCTCTTCCATCTGTGTTCGACCTGTTGAGTCTCCTCTTCCAGATTCTCTTCCATCTGTGTTCGACCTGTTGAGGTCTCCTCTTCCAGATTCTCTTCCATCTGTGTTCGACCTGTTGAGTCTCCTCTACACTCCTCTTTCCATCTGTGTTCGACCTGTTGAGTCTCCTCTTCCAGATTCTCTTCCATCTGTGTTCGACCTGTTGAGTCTCCTCTTCCAGATTCTCTTCCATCTGTGTTCGACCTGTTGAGTCTCCTCTTCCAGATTCTCTTCCATCTGTGTTCGACCTGTTGAGTCTCCTCTTCCAGATTCTCTTCCATCTGTGTTCGACCTGTTGAGTCTCCTCTACACTCCTCTTTCCATCTGTGTTCGACCTGTTGAGTCTCCTCTTCCAGATTCTCTTCCATCTGTGTTCGACCTGTTGAGTTCTCCTCTTCCAGATTCTCTTCCATCTGTGTTCGACCTGTTGAGTTCTCCTCTTCCAGATTCTCTTCCATCTGTGTTCGACCTGTTGAGTCTCCTCTACACTCCTCTTTCCATCTGTGTTCGACCTGTTGAGTATCCTCTCTTCCAGATTCTCTTCTATCTGTGTTCGACCTGTTGAGTCTCCTCGTCCAGATTCAAGTCACATGTTCATGGGAATACAACTGGATTTGGTTACTTCAGTATTTATTCACTAATGTACAGGGGAAAAAAATAACACGTAGAGAAACGTCTCTTTTCCTGAAACTAAATTCAGATGATTCTCATGTGATTTGATAACGTGAAATATTCAGGTTTTTTCTTTTACCTTTTTGACTTAAAACTGTGAAGGAGGTTAGGACACAAGGAGGTTAGGACGGAGGAGGTTAGGACAGAGGAGGTTAGGACACAAGGAGGTTAGGACGGAGGAGGTTGAACTGCTGAAACAACTTCAAATTCATCTGCTACTCAGTAATATATATCTAATATCTAATATATATCATTCCAATAACTTGTATATAGACTCGTACTGCACCTATTCCACATCATCACTTTATTTTATAACTATTATTCTTTTGTATTGCTCTTGCTATCTGTATTATTATTATGTTGCATTGTTGGAGAAGCCTGTGACATAAGATTTTCAACAACATAATTACTCTGTAGCTATGTTAGATTGACAATAAAGAACCTTGAACCTTGAACCTTTTTAGGACGGAGGAGGTTAGGACACAAGGAGGTTAGGACGGAGGCGGTTAGGACGGAGGCGGTTAGGACAGAGGAGGTTAGGACAGAGGAGGTTAGGACACAAGGAGGTTAGGACGGAGGAGGTTAGGACAGAGGAGGTTAGGACAGAGGACGTTAAGACAGAGGACGTTAGGACGTAAGGACATAGGAGGTTAGTAAAGGACAGAAGGAGGTTAGTAAAGGACAGAGGAGGTTAGGACGTTAGTAAGTAAGGACATAGGAGGCTAGTAAAGGACAGAAGGAGGTTAGTAAAGGACATAGGAGGTTAGTAAAGGACAGAAGGAGGTTAGTAAAGGACAGAGGACGTTAGTAAAGGACAGAGGAGGTTAGGACAGAGGACGTAAGGACAGAGGAAGTTAGTAAAGGACAGAAGGACAGAGGAGGTTAGTAAAGGACATATAATATTATTTTTATTTTGTACGGTTATGACTCAATACGTGGTAATATTGGTATTGTTTTCTCCTGTTGTGACTCAAAACTGGAAAAAAACATTATTTTCTTGTAAATTAATGACAAAAAACTGTAAAAATATTTCAGATTTCTTTGTAAATTTAGAGGTGAAAACTGGAAAAATTCTCATTATTTCCTCTCAAGTGAAAGTTAATTTCAGACCTTAAACTCAAATAATATATATATATATATAAATCTAGTTTTTCTCTCTGGTGACTCCTTCCTCATGTGGACTGTGTCTCCTCTTCAGTTTCTTTAGATCCTTTCCTAACACTTCTGTCCTTCTGACCTTTCCTAAACACTTCTGTCCTTCTGACCTTTACTAAACACTTCTGTCCTTTCCTAAACACTTCTGTCCTTTCCTAAACACTTCTGTCCTTTCCTAAACACTTTCTGTCCTTTCCTAAACACTTCTGTCCTTTCCTAAACACTTCTGTCCTTTCCTAAACACTTCTGTCCTTTCCTAAACACTTCTGTCCTTTCCTAAACACTTCTGTCCTTTACTAAACACTTCTGTCCTTCTGTCCTTTACTAAACACTTCTGTCCTTTCCTAAACACTTCTGTCCTTTACTAAACACTTATGTCCTTTCCTAAACACTTATGTCCTTTCCTAAACACTTCTGTCCTTTACTAACACTTCTGTCCTTACTAACACTTCTGTACTTATGTCCTTTACTAAACACTTCTGTCCTTTCCTAAACACTTCTGTCCTTTACTAAACACTTCTGTCCTTTCCTAAACACTTCTGTCCTTTACTAAACACTTCTGTCCTTTCCTAAACACTTATGTCCTTTCCTAAACACTTCTGTCCTTTACTAAACACTTCTGTCCTTTACTAAACACTTCTGTACTTATGTCCTTTACTAAACACTTCTGTCCTTTCCTAAACACTTCTGTACTTATGTCCTTTACTAAACACTTCTGTCCTTTCCTAAACACTTCTGTCCTTATGTCCTTTACTAAACACTTCTGTCCTTTACTAAACACTTCTGTACTTATGTCCTTTACTAAACACTTATGTCCTTTCCTAAACACTTATGTCCTTTCCTAAACACTTCTGTCCTTATGTCCTTTACTAAACACTTCTGTCCTTAGTGTCCTTTCCTAAACACTTCTGTCCTTATGTCCTTTCCTAAACATACAGATAGACGTATTTAAAACAGTTAATTTGTGACCTAAAACTCAAATAATAAAATCTATTTTTCCTCACGTGCTCTGTGTCTCCTCTCCTCTCGTGCTCTGTGTCTCCTCTCCTCTCGTGCTCTGTGTCTCCTCTCCTCTCCTCTCCTCTCCTCTCCTCTCCTCTCCTCTCTGTGTCTCCTCTCCTCACGTGCTCTGTGTCTCCTCTCCTGCAGGGAACTATGTTCTGAACTACCTGGCGACGCGCCCTAAGCTGGCAGCGTTTGTGACTCAGGCTCTGATCCAGCTGTACGCCCGCATTACCAAGCTGGGCTGGTTCGACTGCCAGAAGGAAGACTACGTGTTCAGGAACGTCATCGCAGACGTGACTCGCTTCCTACAGGACAGCGTGGAGCACTGCATCATCGGAGTCACCATCCTGTCCCAGCTCACCAACGAGATCAACCAGGTTCCTTAACACTTATGTCCTTTCCTAAACACTTCTGTCCTTTACTAAACACTTCTGTCCTTATGTCCTTTACTAAACACTTATCCTTCACCTCGTGGAATAACATCAGATAGTCGTTTAATTATCCAATAGAACAAAAAAAATGATGGTCCTGAGAAAATGTTAGAAATATGGCAAAAAAACCCTGAATATTATAATATCTAATATATCACACACATTTATGGGAAATATAATCTCTGAGATTTATAAAATGTCTCTGATTAAGTTTACGAGAAATTAAGTTAAATATTCTGAGTTTTATTTTACACATTTCCACGAAGGGTTTTAAGTCACTGATGCCCCGAGCTAGAGCTTTTCTGTTTCGGAACCGGTTTTTATTTTCAGCTCCCGCTCTGTTCACACCGCCCAGAGCCCGACTGCTGCTGCTGCGTCATGACGTCACCGTTTACATCGCTGATTTTCTCCCCAACGGCGCTCCACAAACAACAACAACGGGCCGGGGACTGCGTCGGGTCGATGATCGTGTTGCTTTTAATCATACGAAGCCAGATTAAATTAAATAACGACTTCTCCAACCTTATACTTTTCTCCAGAGTGCCGTGGTTCATTGTTTATTAATGTGTTTCATTTACCGACCGCTGCAGTGCTGGCTGCTCTTTCCACGGGAGTTTATTCTCCCGTTAGCTCCGGGTTAGCTCACACGGCTCTAAAGTATTCACTGTCTGACTGTCACACAAGCAGCTGATACATATCCCAGTTCCCCTTAAGTGAATGTGTGTCAGTCTGAATTGCACGCTGTTTGGCATCACAACGCTGTTATGAAAGTTTCTCTGGTATAACATGGGTGATGTTAGCATAGCAACCGAAGCTAAACTGACTACTTGCTAATGCCGTTTTCTACAGGCAACTTTTTACCGGCGTATTTTTCATTATGATTCTACTTGTGATAGTCGGACATGACAAACCTGTGCAGCCCATGTATTGATTCCATCCGATAGCTGCTATAATAACAACGTCTGCCTGCTCTCCACAATGATCAATAACAGCGAACGGATGGTCAAAGTAAGGTACAAATAAACAGAATCACACGAAGCCTGGTTATTGTTGCCTGACTTATAAAGTGAGGTTTTTTTTTAATAAGTGTGTGGTTGCCTTCTAGTCACTTTGCTCAGCACTACTGCTTGTTACAACTTTTATTTGCCGTACTCGCCTTAACTGTTATTGCTCAGGTTGATCTTCCTCCTTCTTCTCCCTCTTCTTCTTCTTTAACGCGGTGTGTTTCCTGTTTCCAGGCGGACACGACTCACCCTCTGACCAAACACAGGAAGATCGCCTCGTCCTTCAGAGACTCGTCGCTCTTCGACATCTTCACGCTCTCCTGTAACCTCCTCAAACAGGTGAGGCTCCTCCAATGACAGAAGATCATACAGAAATCACCACCTCAACAATTTAGAAGATCAAACAGAAATCATACCTCAAACAATTTAGAAGATCAAACAGAAATCATACCTCAAACAATTCAGAAGATCAAACAGAGATCATACCTCAAACAATTTAGAAGATCAAAACAGAAATCATACCTCAAACATTCAGGAGATCAAACAGAGATCATACTCAAATAATTCAGGAGATCAAACAGAATAATCTCTTGATTCAGTTAGTTAAAAAAATAAACAAACACGGGTGGAGTTGTAGATTTGAAATATATATTTTAATATGTTTAAATGAATATTTGTATATATTGTATTATAGTTAAAAAAATGTAAATGTCTCTGTACTGCTATTTACTCAAATCTCAGAATTAGAGATGCCCCGCCCCTTAGCCCCGCCCCTTAGCCTATATGGTAGAAATGTAATGAGACAAACACGTAAACAATAATAAAAGGGTGAGGAAATCTTTCCGTTATACTGAAATGAAGATTCTTGAAATAAACAGCCTTTTAGGGAGTTTATTCTTGCAAGAAGTTACATCTTTACAGAGTGGCAAGCAGTCTGCAGCGAAATATAAAAGTCAGGAGGTCTGCAGAGGGTCTTATATTCACCCAAGAAGAGAAGAGGAGGGGCTGAGACAAACAGAAAAGATAAACATACTATATATAGGATTCTTTAAGTCTTGATTTTTGTCTGTTGATGTTACACATGGAGCATTTCAGACTTCATCTGACCATTAATGTGTGTGTGTGTGTGTGTGTGTGTGTGTGTGTGTGTGTGTGTGTGTGTGTGTGTGTGTGTGTGTGTGTGTGTGGTGTGTGATGTGTGTGTGTGTGTGTGGTGTGTGTGTGTGTGTGTGGTGTAGTGTGTGTGGTGTAGTGTGTGTGTGTGTGTGTGTGTGTGTGTCTGTGTGTTGTGTGTGTGTGGTGTGTGTGTGTGGTATGTGTGTGTGTGTGGTGTGTGTTTGTGTGTGTAGGTGTGTGTGTGTGTGTGTGTGTGTGTGTGTTGTGTGTGTGTGTGTGTGTGTGTGTGTGTGTGTGTGTGTGTGTGTGTGTGTGTGTGTGTGTTTCAGGCGTCGGGGAAGAACCTGAACCTGAACGATGAGTCTCAGCACGGCCTCCTCATGCAGCTGCTGAAGCTCAGCTACAACTGCCTCAACTACGACTTCATAGGAACGTCTACGGACGAATCCTCCGATGACCTGTGCACCGTTCAGATCCCCACCTCCTGGAGATCAGGTACATAACACACACCTCCTGGAGATCAGGTACATAACCACACCACTCCTGGAGATCAGGTACATAACACACACCTGGAGATCAGGTACATAACACACACCTGGAGATCAGGTACATAACACACCTCCTGGAGATCAGGTACATAACACACACCTGGAGATCAGGTACATAACACACACCTCCTGGAGATCAGGTACATAACACACACCTGGAGATCAGGTACATAACACACACCTCCTGGAGATCAGGTACATAACACACACCTGGAGATCAGGTACATAACACACACCTCCTGGAGATCAGGTACATAACACACACCTCCTGGAGATCAGGTACATAACACACACCTCCTGGAGATCAGGTACATACACACACCTCCTGGAGATCAGGTACATAACACACACACCTGGAGATCAGGTACATAACACACACCTGGAGATCAGGTACATAACACACACTCCTGGAGATCAGGTACATAACACACCCCTGGAGATCAGGTACATAACACCACCCTGGAGATCAGTACATAACACACACCTGGAGATCAGGTACATAACACACACCTGGAGAATCAGGTACATAACCACACACCTGGAGATCAGGTACATACACACACACCTGGAGATCAGGTACATAACCACACATCCTGGAGATCAGGTACATAACACACACCTCCTGGAGATCAGGTACATAACACACACCTGGAGATCAGGTACATAACACACACCTCCTGGAGATCAGGTACATAACACACACATCCTGGGAGATCAGGGTTACATAACACCACCTCCTGGAGATCAGGTACATAACACACAACACCCTGGAGATCAGGTACAACACACACTCCTGGAGATCAGGTACATAACACACACCTCCTGGAGATCAGGTACATAACACACACCTCCTGGAGATCAGGTACATAACACACACCTGGAGACCAGGTACATAACACACACCTCCTGGAGATCAGGTAAAACACACACCTCCTGGAGATCAGGTACATAACACACACCTCCTGGAGATCAGGTACATAACACACACCTCCTGGAGATCAGGTACATAACACACACCTGGAGATCAGGTACATAACACACACCTGGAGATCAGGTACATAACACACACCTGGAGATCAGGTACATAACACACCTCCTGGAGATCAGGTACATAACACACACCTGGAGATCAGGTACATAACACACACCTCCTGGAGATCAGGTACATAACACACACCTCCTGGAGATCAGGTACATAACACACACCTCCTGGAGATCAGGTACATAACACACACCTCCTGGAGATCAGGTACATAACACACACACCTGGAGATCAGGTACATAACACACACCTCCTGGAGATCAGGTACATAACACACACCTCCTGGAGATCAGGTACATAACACAACATCCTGGAGATCAGGTACATAACACACACCCTGGAGATCAGGTACATAACACACACCTGGAGATCAGGTACATAACACACACCTGGAGATTCAGGTACATAACACACACCTCTGGAGATATAGGTACATAACACACACCTGGAGATCAGGTACATAACACACACCTGGAGATCAGGTACATAACACACACACCTGGAGATCAGGTACATAACACACACACCTGGAGATCAGGTACATAACACACACCCTGGAGATCAGGTACATAACATCACACCCTCCTGGAGATCAGGTACATAACACACACCTGGAGATATCAGGTACATAAACACACACCTGGAGATCAGGTACATAACACCACACCTGGAGATTCAGGTAATAACACACACCTGGAGATCAGGTACATAACACACACCTCCTGGAGATCAGGTACATAACACACACCCCTGGAGATCAGGTACATAACACCACACCTGGAGATCAGGTACATAACACACACATGGAGATCAGGTACATAACACACAACCTGGAGATCAGGTACATAACACACCACCTGGAGATCAGGTACATAACACACACACCTGGAGATCAGGTACATAACACACACCTGGAGATCAGGTACATAACACACACCTGGAGAGATCAGGTACATAACACACACCTCCTGGAGATCAGGTACATAACACACACCTGGAGATCAGGTACACACACACACACCTGGAGATCAGGTACATAACACACACCCTGGAGATCAGGTACATAACACACACCCTGGAGATCAGGTAATACACCACACACCTGGAGATCAGGTACATAACACACCACCTCCTGGAGATCAGGTACATAACACACACCTGGAGATCAGGTACATAACACACACCTCCTGGAGATCAGGTACATAACACACACACCTGGAGATCAGGTACATAACACACACCTGGAGATCAGGTACATAACACACACCTGGAGATCAGGTACATAACACACACCTGGAGATCAGGTACATAACACACACCTGGAGATCAGGTACATAACACACACACCTGGAGATCAGGTACATAACACACACCTCCTGGAGATCAGGTACATAACACACACCTGGAGATCAGGTACATAACACACACCTGGAGATCAGGTACATAACACACACCTGGAGATCAGGTACATAACACACACCTGGAGATCAGGTACATAACACACACCTGGAGATCAGGTACATAACACCACCTCCTGGAGATCAGGTACATAACACACACCTCCTGGAGATCAGGTACATAACACACACCTGGAGATCAGGTACATAACACACACCTCCTGGAGATCAGGTACATAACACACACCTCCTGGAGATCAGGTACATAACACACACCTCCTGGAGATCAGGTACATAACACACACCTCCTGGAGATCAGGTACATAACACACACCTCCTGGAGATCAGGTACATAACACACACCTCCTGGAGATCAGGTACATAACACACACCTCCTGGAGATCAGGTACATAACACACTGGAGATCAGGTACATAACACACACCTGGAGATCAGGTACATAACACACACACCTGGAGATCAGGTACATAACACACACCTGGAGATCAGGTACATAACACACACCTCCTGGAGATCAGGTACATAACACACACCTCCTGGAGATCAGGTACATAACACACACCTGGAGATCAGGTACATAACACACACCTGGAGATCAGGTACATAACACACACCTGGAGATCAGGTACATAACACACACCTCCTGGAGATCAGGTACATAACACACACCTCCTGGAGATCAGGTACATAACACACACCTCCTGGAGATCAGGTACATAACACACACCTGGAGATCAGGTACATAACACACACCTCCTGGAGATCAGGTACATAACACACACCTGGAGATCAGGTACATAACACACACCTGGAGATCAGGTACATAACACACACCTCCTGGAGATCAGGTACATAACACACACACCTGGAGATCAGGTACATACACACACACACCTGGAGATCAGGTACATAACACACACCTCCTGGAGATCAGGTACATAACACACACCTCCTGGAGATCAGGTACATAACACACACCTCCTGGAGATCAGGTACATAACACACACCTCCTGGAGATCAGGTGCATAACACCACCTGGAGATCAGGTACATAACACACACCTGGAGATCAGGTACATAACACACACCTGGAGATCAGGTACAAACACACACCTGGAGATCAGGTACATAACACACACCTCCTGGAGATCAGGTACATAACACACACCTCCTGGAGATCAGGTACATAACACACACCTCCTGGAGATCAGGTACATAACACACACCTGGAGATCAGGTACATAACACACACCTCCTGGAGATCAGGTACATAACACACACTCCTGGAGATCAGGTACATAACACACCTCCTGGAGATCAGGTACATAACACACACCTCCTGGAGATCAGGTACATAACACACCCTCCTGGAGATCAGGTACATAACACACACCTCCTGGAGATCAGGTACAACACACACACCTGGAGATCAGGTACATAACACACACCTGGAGATCAGGTACATAACACACACCTGGAGATCAGGTACATAACACACACACCTGGAGATCAGGTACATAACACACACCTCCTGGAGATCAGGTACATAACACACACCTCCTGGAGATCAGGTACATAACACACACCTCCTGGAGATCAGGTGCATAACACACACCTCCTGGAGATCAGGTACATAACACACACCTCCTGGAGATCAGGTACATAACACACACCTGGAGATCAGGTGCATAACACACACCTCCTGGAGATCAGGTACATAACACACACCTCCTGGAGATCAGGTACATAACACACACCTCCTGGAGATCAGGTACATAACACACCTGGAGATCAGGTGCATAACAACACCTCCTGGAGATCAGGTACATAACACACACCTCCTGGAGATCAGGTACATAACACAACCCTGGAGATCAGGTACATAACACACACCTGGAGATCAGGTACATAACACACACCTCCTGGAGATCAGGTACATAACACACACCTCCTGGAGATCAGGTACATAACACACACCTGGAGATCAGGTACATAACCACACCTCCTGGAGATCAGGTACATAACACACACCTCTGGAGATCAGGTACATAACACACACCTCCTGGAGATCAGGTACATAACACACCTCCTGGAGATCAGGTACATAACACACACCTCCTGGAGATCAGGTACATAACACACACCTCCTGGAGATCAGGTACATAACACACACCTCCTGGAGATCAGGTACATAACACACACCTGGAGATCAGGTACATAACACACACCTGGAGATCAGGTACATAACACACACCTCCTGGAGATCAGGTACATAACACACACCTGGAGATCAGGTACCATAAACACACACTCTGGAGATCAGGACATAACACACACCTCCTGGGAGATCAGGTACATAACACACACCCCTGGAGATCAGGTACATAACACACACCTCTGGAGATCAGGTACATAACACACACCTGGAGATCAGGTACATAAACACACACATCCTGGAGATCAGGTACATAACACACACCTCCTGGAGATCAGGTACATTAAACACACACCTCCTGGAGATCAGGTTACATAAACACACACCCCTGGAGAATCAGGTACAATAACACACACCTGGAGATCAGGTACATAACACACACCTCCTGGAGATCAGGTACATAAAACACACCTCCTGGAGATCAGGTACATAACACACACCTCCTGGAGATCAGGTACATAACACACACACCTGGAGATCAGGTACATAACACACACCTCTGGAGATCAGGTACATAAACACACACCTCCTGGAGATCAGGTTACATAACACACACCTCCTGGAGATCAGGTACATAACACACACACCTGGAGATCAGGTACATAACACACACCTGGAGATCAGGTACCCTAACACACACCTCCTGGAGATCAGGTACATAACACACACCTCCTGGAGATCAGGTACATAACACACACCTGGAGATCAGGTACATAACACACACCTGGAGATCAGGTACATAACACACACCTGGAGATCAGGTACATAACACACACCTGGAGATCAGGTACATAACACACACCTGGAGATCAGGTACATAACACACACCTGGAGATCAGGTACATAACACACACCTGGAGATCAGGTACATAACACACACCTGGAGATCAGGTACATAACACACACCTGGAGATCAGGTACATAACACACACACCTCCTGGAGATCAGGTACATAACACACACCTGGAGATCAGGTACATAACACACACCTGGAGATCAGGTACATAACACACACCTGGAGATCAGGTACATAACACACACCTGGAGATCAGGTACATAACACACACCTGGAGATCAGGTACATAACACACACCCTGGAGATCAGGTACATAACACACACCTGGAGATCAGGTACATAACACACACCTGGAGATCAGGTACATAACACACACCTCCTGGAGATCAGGTACATAACACACACCTGGAGATCAGGTGCAAACCCACACCTGGAGATCAGGTCATAACACACACTGGAGATTTTCCCATCAAGGTTACATAACACACACCTGGAGATCAGGTACATAACACACACTGGAGATCAGGTACATAACACACACCCTGGAGATCAGGTACATAACACACACCTGGAGATCAGGTACCATAACACACACCTGGAGATCAGGTGCATAAACACACCACCTGGAGATCAGGTACATAACACACACCTGGAGATCAGGTACATAACACACACCTGGAGATCAGGTACATAACACACACCTGGAGATCAGGTACATAACACACACCTCCTGGAGATCAGGTACATAACACACACCTGGAGATCAGGTGCATAACACACACCTGGAGATCAGGTACATAACACACACCTGGAGATCAGGTACATAACACACACCCTGGAGATCAGGTGCATTAACACACACCTGGAGATCAGGTACATAACACACACCTGGAGATCAGGTACATAACACACACCTCCTGGAGATCAGGTACATAACACACACACCTGGAGATCAGGTACATAACACACACCTGGAGATCAGGTAATAACACACACCTCCTGGAGATCAGGTACATAACACACACCTCCTGGAGATAGGTACATAACACACACTCCTGGAGATCACGGTGACAGAACACACACCTGGAGATCTAGGTACATAACACACACCTGGAGATCAGGTACATAACACACACCTGGAGATCAGGTACATAACACACACCTCCTGGAGATCAGGTACATAACACACACCTGGAGATCAGGTACATAACACACACCTGGAGATCAGGTACATAACACACACCTCCTGGAGATCAGGTACATAACACACACCTGGAGATCAGGTACATAACACACACCTGGAGATCAGGTACATAACACACACCTGGAGATCAGGTGCATAAAAGCCATTGTAGGAAAACATATTTCTTTCGAAAAAACTCACCAATTAATTGTGTAAAAAAAAAGAATATTCTGAGTGTTAAAAATATATATTCTGTGAGATTTTGCTCGTACATTTACAGCAAGAAGTTTTGAATATAGTCACTTATTTCTGAGAAAATCAATCTATTATCCCAGATCCAAACTACCAATTAACAAGAACAACTTTCAGCTGTAATTTAGGTCAAACATCGGAAATGTACGAGAATGAAATATCTGATTAAAGTCACACATTCACAAGAAAAGCAGAAAGATCTGTTTATTATAAAAAAAATGTAATTTCTCTGGAAACCAAACTATTTATAATGCAATTAACTAATCATTTAAAGTATTTAGAAAGCAAAACATTAGAGTAATTCTCAAATCACACTGAACTGAGTTTCTTCTGATTTTCTTAAATATATAATTCGTCATTTTCTGGCATTTATGGACCAAACCATTAAAAGTTATAACAAATAACCATCAGTTGCAGCTCTGATGTTTCTTCTAATAAATTGTGACTTTCTACTTTTCAGCGTTTCTTGATTCCTCCACACTGCAGCTCTTTTCAATTTATATCATTCCATCCCTCCGTCCCTTTCCCCGTTGGTAAGTGAGCCGCTCTGCACGTCCTGACACACCCAGAGACCCTGTTAGCCCCCTGTTAATGTGTGTGTGTGTGGTGTGTGTGTGTGTGTGTGTGTGTGTGTGTGTGTGTGTGTGTGTGTGGTGTGTGTGTGTGTGTGTGTGTGTGTGTGTGTGTGTGGTGTGTGTGTGTGTGTGTGTGTGTGTGTGTGTGTGTGTGTGTGTGTGTGTGTGTGTGGTGTGTGTGTGTGTGTGTGTGTGTGTGTGTGTGTTGTGTGTGTGTGTGTGTGTGTGTGTGTGTGTGTGTGTGTGTGTGTGTGTGTGTGTGTGTGTGTGTGTGTGTGTGTGTGTGTGTGTGTGTGTGTGTGTGTAGGTGTTGTCCTGTTTAGTTCAGATAGCCTCTGTGCGGCGCTCTCTCTTCAACAATGCGGAGCGAGCGAAGTTCCTCTCTCACCTGGTGGACGGAGTGAAGAGGATCCTGGTGAACCCACAGGTACGTCACACACACACATTTTTAGATTTTATTTATTAGAGGGTGGAAAATCTTGTATTGGAAATGTCTAACTTACGTCTATAGAAATATATTTTATATTATTTGTTGCATATTTTAACTTTTTAGGGTTATACATAAAAACTGTTATTCTCTTTGATCTTTCTATTACTTCTTACATTTATATTAATATCTTTGTTCAGTGGATTTCACGTTTTCAATATTCCCTTCCTCGTGTTTTTGCTCCAGTGTTTGCCAGACCCGAATAACTACCACGAGTTCTGCCGGCTGCTGGCGAGGCTGAAGAGCAACTATCAGCTGGGGGAACTGGTCAAAGTGGAAAACTACCCGGAGGTGATCCGCCTCATCGCTAACTTCACCGTCACCAGTCTGCAGGTAAGAACACAAATAGGAAGTGAAGAGAGACTTAGGACTCATGATGCTGAGTCACTCCTGCAGCAATAAATTGTGTTGGAAGAAAAACTAAAATACGAGGATAAGAAATGTTAGATTTTGTTCTGATGTTATTTTTACAATTATTTATATATTATTGTTGTCTCCCCCCCCCCCCCCCAGCACTGGGAGTTTGCCCCCAACAGTGTTCACTACCTGCTGAGTTTATGGCAGCGTCTGGCCGCCTCCGTGCCGTACGTTAAAGCCACCGAGCCTCACCTGCTGGAGACCTACACACCTGAGGTCACCAAGGCTTACATCACGTCACGGCTGGAGTCCGTGCACGTCATCCTCAGGTGAGATTCTGTCAGTCTGAAACCTGTTAGACTCAGGTGAGATTCTGTCACTCTGAAACCTGTTAGACTCAGGTGAGATTCTGTCAGTCTGAAACCTGTTAGACTCAGGTGAGATTCTGTCAGTCTGAAACCTGTTAGACTCAGGTGAGATTCTGTCAGTCTGAAACCTGTTAGACTCAGGTGAGATTCTGTCAGTCTGAAACCTGTTAGACTCAGGTGAGATTCTGTCAGTCTGAAACCTGTTAGACTCAGGTGAGATTCTGTCACTCTAAAACCTGTAAAGTTTCTGTCGCTCTCAAAAACATGTTAGACTTTTTGTCAGTCTAAAACCTGTAGGACTCAGGTGAGACACATATTTTGAGTTCCCACACTAATGAAAGGTGTGTGTTCTCCCCAGAGATGGGCTGGAGGACCCTCTGGACGACGCGGGGCTCGTGCAGCAGCAGCTCGACCAGCTGTCCACCATCGGGCGCTGTGAGTACGAGAAGACGTGCGCGCTGCTGGTGCAGCTGTTCGACCAGGCGGCACAGAGCTACCAGGAACTGCTGCAGAGCACCAACTCCAGCGCCGCGGATATCACCGTGCAGGAGGGTACGATACACACACACACACACACACACACAGACACACACACACACACACACACACACACACACACACAGACACAGACACACACACAGACACACACACAGACACACAGACAGACACACACACACACACAGACACACACACACACACACACACACACACCACACACACACACACACACACACACCGACACACACACACACACAGACACAGACACAGACACAGACACAGACACACACACAGACACACAGACAGACACACAGACAGACACACACACACACACAGACACACACACACACACAGACACACACACACAGACACACACACACACACAGACAGACACACACAGACACACACACACACACACCACACAGACACAGACACCACACACAGACACAGACACACACAGACACACACACACACACAGACACACACACACACACACACACACACACGGCAAAACATCTGTAAAATTGTAAAATATAGCTAAACAATTACAATTTTTCGCAGATTTTCTTTTTTTTATATTTAGAAAAGATTGGAAGTGATAATCTCTGCCTATATGACTGATATGTTTAATTGTCTCTCTAACGCTCCCTCTGTGCAGGTCGGTTGACGTGGTTGGTTTACATCATCGGGGCGGTGATCGGGGGGCGAGTGTCGTTCGCCAGCACAGACGAGCAGGACGCCATGGACGGAGAGTTAGTCTGTCGGTAAGAAAACGAGAATATGTGAGAGTTACATACCCTGAAAATATCTGGTTTGTCTCCAAGCTGCAATCTGATGAGGCCGGCTTTTATAGTTCCTTATTTCTCTTAAAGGGTTAGGGTCCAACACATTGTACGTGATAGGCTTGACCAAAGTGGTTGACCAATCACAACAGAGCATTAGAGCAGACTGGGCTCTGGTTTCAGACAGAGGGTGAAAAGACAGGCAGTATGAGAAAAATAAAGAGTGAAATTGTGTGAAAAAGACTTCTTTATTGCTAAAATGGACAATTCATCAGTATAAACACACGTTTGAATGTAAGCAGCAGGGGCCCCAACACATTTCCCTGTGGGACTCCAAATGTTCTAGGTCGCTTAAACGTGTAAATTAATCAGATTTAAATGATTTATAAGCTAATTAAGCTACTTCTGAACCACTTGTTCCGCTAATTAAGGTAGAAATGAATGTGGTTCTGACTGGTTATGATGTTTCCTGCCGTTCAGGGTGCTGCAGCTGATGAACCTGACGGACTCTCGACTCGCTCAGGCGGGAAACGAGCGGCTGGAGCTCGCCATGCTCAGCTTCTTCGAGCAGTTCAGGAAGATCTACATCGGAGACCAGGTGCAGAAATCATCAAAGGTACGACGACTCACTGAATGACATGTAGGAGAGTACACGGTTCAGGTATTTTACATACTTTTACTGTTATACTTTTACTTCGCTAGATTTACGGTTGACATTTATCTGTCAACTGAAGTTTTTATACATTTCGTCGTGCGGTATCATTGCTTTTCCTGAAGTAAAGGATCTCAGAATCAGGCGTATCGTCTAGTCTACTTGCACAATTACATTATCTTTCAGAAACTTTCTACTTTTTACTGCACGATCAATACTTTTTCACGATATATCGTGTCGTGACGATAATCGCGATATGCGCATGCGCGATAGTCACATCGCAGGACGTGCGATTTAAAAAAAAAATGTTTAGGACGTGCGATATTAAGTTGGCAAATTAACTTAAACACGTCATGTTACAATTATTTTGCTGCTTGCTACAAAAGGAAAACTGGCGCGGCTCTCATGTCAGGGGTCCTTGAGTGAGTGAGGGCTCTGCATGCACAGCTACTCACCAAGTGTCAGAAAACACAACCCTCTCTATTTTCCTCCATACCCAAATCTCTAAAAAAGGGGCTGCAACGGATCTGATAAAAACTGATCCAGATTTGAACACTGTCCTGACGTCAGGACGGTGGCGCTACGGCTATTGGGCCAACTCCACCAATCAGGAGGAGACAGCCACGGCCATTGCCATTCAAAAGCGCTGGAGACGCTGTAGTACATATGCCAGGCCTGTAGGTGGTGCTGTTCTCACAGAATCTGCCCAGAGCTAAAACAGAGCTAAAAAATGTCAAATTGAGCAAAATGAGGCATGGCTAAAATGCATGATCTGTTTGGTATTTTGAAAAAAAGAAAAGTATAAATATGCCTTATATAGGTATGGTCCTACACTATATTATTACAATATAGCATGATAGGTCCACTTTAAGATCCAGACGTCCGTGACTAAAATCCTTCATCCGGTTAAATATAGTTAGTAAAATACCAGTTGTATTAAAGTTCAAGAAAGGATGGTTTGCGGACAAAAACAAAACTGTCTTTTCTTCAATTCCTGTATTTTTTCATATCACAATATATATATATATATATATATATCACAGGGGGAAGAAATATCGCAATGTCAGTTTTTTCCAATATCGCGCAGCCCTAATTCAGACTGGACGTCTAGCCGACATACTGCATCTAAATTCATGACTTTACTTGTAGTGGAGTCTTTTTAAAGTAGGGTATCAGTACTGTAAAGGATCTTAATACCTCCACCCTGTAGCATGTGTGTGTTCTGTGTATTTACTGGGTGTTAGCCGCCTTTTCTGTGGACTCGTGCTGACTGCAGCGGTTTCTATAGATTGTGTTGTTAGTGGTGTGAAGAGCTGACTGACGGAGTGTGTTCTGTGTGTTTCGGAGCAGAAACTGCAAAATGTGACCGTCTCAGATAAGTGGAATAGATAGTCTGTTCCTGGTTTAGTGTTAGCTCCCTTTAATAAATCAGAGTGGGTGAGTAGAGGGTAGGGATGACACCAGAAGCAGCATATCAATAATATTGTAGATCAATAGACTAGATATCATCCTGAGTGTTGTTTTTTTACCATGTGCAAATACAGAACAACGTTTAAAGGGTTCGTGCATCCAGCCACTTCTCTCTTAATAAAATAACTATAATATAACTAAATAAGATGTGACGTTAGCATGCACAGCAGAAACATACCTACAGAGTTACTCGCTTACCAAACATATCTAAAGTAAAGTGTGAGACGTGTATTAAAAGCGTTGAGAAATGTAAACGCAGCGAGCAGAGTCTCTGAGGTCATGGGAAGCTGCAGGTTCCACGCTGAGTGTTCAGTGAGCAGAGAATGGGTTAAATAAACCTGAGCGTGGAAACAATATGCAGCTTTAGTCGGAGGTTCCTCTTCCTGTCAGTTTAACCCTCTGTTCTGCAGAAAGTGAGCCCCCCCCCCCTCACTCTTTATCTCTGAACATGTCCTCATGCTTCACCTCCCTCTGCTGCACAGTCAGAGCTTTAACTGATGATCCTGGAGAGATTAAAGTGCGCTCACATGCTAAACATTTAGCTCATTTTGAGACAATTTGTTGTTTTATATTGCAAAAAAATTGGAAGTGAAAAATTAAATAAGATTAAACATTTAGCGAAAAAAATTACTATTGCAAAAAAACATATATAATAAAAATGTAAATAAAATGCAGGGAAAAATGTGATATTGGAAAAATATAGGATTTTTTTTTTTTAAAGCACTTTTTCATATTTTTTTAATATATAGAAATAATGCGCTTTATTTCTTAATTCTTCCCTCTTTTAATTCAGTAACAAGCTGAGGTTAACTTACTCAATATAAAACCCTACAATAATCCCAGCTCTAAATGTGCAGTTATTTTCCTCAAAACAAAACACACACTGGATGTCTCTAATACATATGTTAACACACACGATTCACACACACACACACACACACACACGCACGCACGCACGCACACACACACACACACACACACACACACACACATGCACACACACTGGATGTCTCTAATACATATGTTAACACACACGATACATACACACACACACACACGCACACACACACACACACACTGGATGTCTCTAATACATATGTTAACACACACGATTCACACACACGCACCACACACACACACACGCACACACACACACACACACACGCACACACACGCACACACTGGATGTCTCTAATACATATGTTAACACACACGATACACACACACACACACACGCACACACACACACATGCACACGCACACATGCACACACACTGGATGTCTCTAATACATATGTTAACACACACGATACATACACACACACACACACATTTAGCTTTAACATGGTGCTACAAAATGATGAAGAGAATTTTCTAAATAAAAGTCTGGGGGAAAAACATCATATTTTATTTTAAATGTCGTTTATAAGTGAAAAGAAACGTGGTGGAGAGGTGGAGAGATATTTATGAAGTTGTGAGTAAATATTGACGAATGTGTTTCTGTTGTTCGCAGCTTTATCGACGACTATCAGAAGTTCTGGGTCTGAACGACGAGACCATGGTACTCAGTGTCTTTATAGGGAAAATGTGAGTACAACATTATCTACATGTTAACATCATTAACGAAGACGTTACGTTTCTTTCTGTGTTCATGTTCAATCGCTCCTCTCTTTCAGCATCACAAACTTGAAGTACTGGGGCCAGTGTGAACCAATCACCTCCAAGACACTCCAACTACTGAACGACCTCTCCTTAGGATATCCTTCAGCTGTGTGTGTGTGTGTGTGTGTGTGTGTGTGTGTGTGTGTGTGTGTGTGTGTGTGTGTGTGTGTGTGTGTGTGTGTGTGTGTGTGTGTGTGTGTGTGTGTGTGTGTGTGTGTGTGTGTGTGGTGTGTGTGTGTGTGTGTGTGTGTGTGTGTGTGTGTGTGTGTGTGTGTGTGTGTGTGTGTGTGTGTGTGTGTGTGTGTGGTGTGTGTGTGTGTGTGTGTGTGGTGTGTGTGTGTGTGTGTGTGTGTGTGTGTGTGTGTGTGTGTGTGTGTGTGTGTGTGTGTGTGTGTGTGTGTGTGTGTGTGTGTGTGTGTGTGTGTGTGTGTGTGTGTGTGTGTGTGTGTGTGTGTGTGTGTGTGTGTGTGCGCGCGCGCGACTGTGTGAGACTGACTGTGTGACTGACTGTGTGTGTGACTGACTGTATGTGACTGACTGTGTGTGACTGACTGTGTGTGTGTGACTGTGTGAGACTGACTGTGTGTGTGTGACTGTGTGTGTGTGTGACTGACTGACTGTGTGTGTGTGACTGTGTGAGACTGACTGTGTGTGTGTGACTGTGTGTGTGTGAGACTGACTGTGTGTGTGTGACTGTGTGTGTGTGAGACTGACTGTGTGTGTGACTGTGTATCTAACTCCTATAAAAGTGTTTACTGTTTTTTTTTTATTCTCCTGTGATATTTAGTTATTTAAAAAAAAAAAGATTCTGTGATAATATATATATTTTTTTTTAAATAATTTATAATAACTCACTTTCTTATTGTCAATAACAACATTTCTAATCTATTTTTATTTATTTTTGGTATTTTAAGATTTAATTACCAAAGCTTTTCAGTTCTTTTTTTTGCCGTTAAAAGTCAAACTTATTTGCCATATGTTGAGATTTTTCATCCTTCTTTCCCATTTCTTTCTCTGATGTGTAAATGCAAACTTTAAATATGTATATGAAGTGCACGTGCACCTCCCTGTACCTGCTCCTGTGTGCTCCTTGACTTCCTGTGTGCACGTACAGCAGCGTGAGGAAGCTGGTGAAGCTCAGCGCCGTGCAGTTCATGTTGAACAACCACACTGTGAGTAACTCTCTATACAATAAACACTCAATATGTGGAGGTGAAGTATCTTTCTGATAACATGTTTTTATTGCCTTTCGACAATGTTTAAAGGTGGGGTAGGTAAGTTTGAGAAACCGGCTGTGGAAAATAGCCACGGAAATTATAAGTGGAAAGCAAAATAGATGCATACAAATGAGACAATGGTCTGTACTGATTGTATAAGCAAAGAGAAAAAAGGGTTACACACTAAAGCCACGTCCAGGAGTTTGTGTTTGAGTCTCCTAAACTCACCAACAGTCAACTCATTTGCATATTTAAACGTAACACTTCAGAAAACTTGTAAACATAAAAACTAACCGTGTTGATTATTAATAATGATCTTCTGTGTTTGTGTTTTTAAAGAGTGAACACTTCTCCTTCCTCGGGGTGAACAACCAATCCAATCTGAGCGACATGAGGTGTCGGACCACCTTCTACACGGCTTTGGGACGCCTGCTAATGGTGGACCTAGGTACACACACACACACACACTCACACTCAGGGACACACACAGGGACACACACACACACACACACACACACACACACACTCACACTCAGGGACACACACAGGGACACACACACACACTCTCACACACTCACACTCAGGGATACACACACACACTCACACTTACGCACACACACACACACACTCACACTCAGGGATACACACACACACACACTCACACTTACGGACACACACACACACACACACACACTCACACTTACGGACACACACACACACACACACACTCACACTCAGGGATACACACACACACACACACACTCAAACAGAGACATAACACATTTACAGACACAGACACACACAAACACTGGATGTCTTATACATATGTTAACACACACACAATACACACACCCCCACACATGCAGACACACAAACAAACACAGACACACACACTTACAGAGACACACACACACACTTACACAGACACACACACACACTTACAGACACACACAGAGACACAAACACTGGATATCTCTAATACATATGTTAACACACACGATACAGACACACAAGCAGCACACACACCCCCACACACGCGCAGACACACAGAGACACACAGGCACACACACACCAACGCAAGCAAACACTGGACGTCTCTACCACACACACACACACACACACCAACACACACTTTTTTTCCAGAGCCAGTCGTGTTTTATATTTGATCTTTTTATTGCACATTCTTACTTTAAATTCTTATGTTTTTTGAATATATTTTGATTATTTTCTTGCAGGTATTTATTTATTGTGTTAATCTAAAGACTCTTTGATCATTTCATATTTTATTGCATATTCTTACTTTCACATTTAGCTCATATTAATATTGAAATGTTATTTTAGATGTGTTGCACATCCTCATTGATGATGATTTGTGTTATTATAGGATCTATTTTCCTAGAAGTCGACATCGAGCCTTTTTGACCATGTGTTTTATTGTAGGTGAGGACGAGGATCAGTTTGAGCAGTTCATGCTTCCTCTGACGGCCGCGTTTGAAACTGTGGCTCAGATGCTGAGCACAAACACCTTCAACGAGCAGGAGGCCAAGGTGCACACACACACACACACACACACACACCAAAATGCTGCTTTACTTACAGAGCTTTTATTCTGAAAATCCTCTCTACTTCCTGCAGAGGACTCTGGTGGGTTTGGTTCGAGACCTGCGAGGAATCGCCTTCGCCTTCAACGCCAAAACCAGCTTCATGATGCTCTTCGACTGGATGTATCCTCACAGCAAGTCTTCATCGTCATGTGCTCAGCAGCTGCAGTGTAGATGTTACGCTCGTGTTCAACAGTTTACATGTTAAGGGTTAATGCTACTTCACTTGCACGTGATGCTACGAGCGGCACGTGATGCTACGAGCGGCACGTGATGCTACGAGCGGCACGTGATGCTACGAGCGGCACGTGATGCTACGAGCAGCTACAGTGGAGATGTGCCAATGAAAAACGTAAGTCTCCTCCAGCAGAGCAACATGAATATATATAGGACAGATAAATAAAAGATAGATATAGGCATTTTTCATAAATGCTGACATTACTCAGAAAATCTAAAAATTCTTACTTTTTTCCCAAAATCTTAAAATTCAGATTTTTTCTGAAAATCCTGACTTTTTTTCTGGAAATTCTGACTTTTTTTCCCATAATCTTAAATTCAGACTTTTTTCAGAAAATCTTAACATTCTGACTTTTTTCCCAAAATCTTAAATTCAGACTTTTTTCAGAAAATCTTAAAATTCGGACTTTTTTCCCAAAATCTTAAAATGCTGACTTTTTTCAGAAAATCTTAAAATTCGGACTTTTTTCCCAAAATCTTAAAATGCTGACTTTTTTCCCAAAATCTTAAAATTCTGACTTTTTTCCCAAAATCTTAAAATTCGGACTTTTTTCCCAAAATCTTAAAATGCTGACTTTTTTCCCAAAATCTTAAAATTCTGACTTTTTTCCCAAAATCTTAAAATTCGGACTTTTTTCAGAAAATCTTAAAATTCGGACTTTTTTCCCAAAATCTTAAAATGCTGACTTTTTTCCCAAAATCTTAAAATTCGGACTTTTTTCCCAAATCTTAAAATCCTGACTTTTTTCCCAAAATCTTAAAATTCTGACTTTTTTTCCCATAATCTTAACATTCTGACTTTTTTCCCAAAATCTTAAAATGCGACTTTTTTCCCCAAAATCTTAAATTCTGACTTTTTTTCAGAAAATCTTAAAATTCTGACTTTTTTCCCAAAATCTTAAAATGCTATATGTCAATGAAAAACTGAAGTCCTCCTCCAACAAAGCAACATGAATATATATAGGACATATAACAAATAGAATAGAAATAGTGCAAGTAGAGTCTGTATACAGGTAAATGGAATATGATGTATAGATAAATAATTAGCAAGATGCAACCAGATGAATGTTGATGGACGTTCTTCACAGGGTTCAGGTGGTTAACAGGCTTATTGCCTGTGGGATGAAACTGTCTCTGAGTCTGGTGGTTTCCGTCCTGATGCTGCGGTACCGCTTCTAAAATAATAATATCCTTTTATAATAATATTTAATACCCTGTCAGCATCTTTAACTCGAGCCTCAGGTATCCGGCCTACATGCCCATCCTGCAGAGAGCCATCGAGCTGTGGTACCACGACCCAGCATGCACCACTCCCGTCCTCAAGCTCATGGCAGAGCTGGTGCACAACAGGTAACCCCGATACACCTGTAGAGGGTCTGAATACCAGAGAGGGAACAAGTACACACATCCTGTACTCAAGTAGAAGTACACACATCCTTTACTCAAGTAGAAGTACACCCATCCTTTACTCAAGTAGAAGTACACACATCCTTTACTCAAGTAGAAGTACACACATCCTTTACTCAAGTAGAAGTACACACATCCTGTACTCAAGTAGAAGTACACACATCCTGTACTCAAGTAGAAGTACACACATCCTTTACTCAAGTAGAAGTACACACATCCTTTACTCAAGTAGAAGTACACACATCCTGTACTCAAGTAGAAGTACACACATCCTTTACTCAAGTAGAAGTACACACATCCTTTACTCAAGTAGAAGTACACACATCCTTTACTCAAGTAGAAGTACAGATACTCGTGTTTAAAAATACTCTGGTAAAAGTAGAAGTACTGACTAAACTTCTATTTGTGTTCAACATGTAAGAAGTAGAAAGTACATGTATTTGTGTTCAACATGTAAGAAGTAGAAAGTACAGGTATTTGTGTTCAACATGTAAGAAGTAGAAAGTACAGGTATTTGTGTTCAACATGTAAGAAGTAGAAAGTACAGGTATTTGTGTTCAACATGTAAGAAGTAGAAAGTACAGGTATTTGTGTTCAACATGTAAGAAGTAGAAAGTACAGGTATTTGTGTTCAACATGTGAGAAGTAGAAAGTACAGGTATTTGTGTTCAACATGTAAGAAGTAGAAAGTACAGGTATTTGTGTTCAACATGTAAGAAGTAGAAAGTACAGGTATTTGTGTTCAACATGTAAGAAGTAGAAAGTACAGGTATTAGTGTTCAACATGTGAGAAGTAGAAAGTACAGGTATTAGTGTTCAACATGTGAGAAGTAGAAAGTACAGGTATTTGTGTTCAACATGTAAGAAGTAGAAAGTACAGGTATTTGTGTTCAACATGTAAGAAGTAGAAAGTACAGGTATTTGGGTTCAAAATGTAAGAAGTAGAAAGTACAGGTATTAGTGTTCAACATGTGAGAAGTAGAAAGTACAGGTATTAGTGTTCAACATGTGAGAAGTAGAAAGTACAGGTATTTGGGTTCAACATGTAAGAAGTAGAAAGTACAGGTATTTGTGTTCAACATGTAAGAAGTAGAAAGTACAGGTATTTGTGTTCACATGTAAGAAGTAGAAAGTACAGGTATTTGGGTTCAAAATGTAAGAAGTAGAAAGTACAGGTATTTGGGTTCAACATGTAAGAAGTAGAAAGTACAGGTATTTGTGTTCAACATGTAAGAAGTAGAAAGTACAGGTATTTGTGTTCAACATGTAAGAAGTAGAAAGTACAGGTATTTGGGTTCAAAATGTAAGAAGTAGAAAGTACAGGTATTTGGGTTCAACATGTAAGAAGTAGAAAGTACAGGTATTTGTGTTCAACATGTAAGAAGTAGAAAGTACAGGTATTTGTGTTCAACATGTAAGAAGTAGAAAGTACAGGTATTTGTGTTCAACATGTAAGAAGTAGAAAGTACAGGTATTTGTGTTCAACATGTAAGAAGTAGAAAGTACAGGTATTTGTGTTCAACATGTAAGAAGTAGAAAGTACAGGTATTTGGGTTCAAAATGTAAGAAGTAGAAAGTACAGGTATTTGGGTTCAACATGTAAGAAGTAGAAAGTACAGGTATTTGTGTTCAACATGTAAGAAGTAGAAAGTACAGGTATTTGTGTTCAACATGTAAGAAGTAGAAAGTACAGGTATTTGTGTTCAACATGTAAGAAGTAGAAAGTACAGGTATTTGTGTTCAACATGTAAGAAGTAGAAAGTACAGGTATTTGTGTTCAACATGTAAGAAGTAGAAAGTACAGGTATTTGGGTTCAAAATGTAAGAAGTAGAAAGTACAGGTATTTGGGTTCAACATGTAAGAAGTAGAAAGTACAGGTATTTGAGTTCAACATGTGAGAAGTAGAAAGTAAAAAGTGGTCAGAAAAATAAGTAGTGGAGTAAAGTACTGATATCAGAAAGATGTACTTAAGTACAGTAACAAAGTATTTGTACTCCTACTTCCCACCTGCTTAATACTGCATGTTATTCGATGTAATTGGATATTGATCTGTTGGATATTGATCTGTTGGATATTGATCTGTTCCCTGCAGGTCTCAGAGGCTACAGTTTGACGTGTCGTCGCCGAACGGCATCCTGCTGTTCAGAGAAACCAGCAAGATGATCACCACATACGGTACATTAAAAAACAAAACCTTAATATCTATTTTTATTTTTATATATATATATATATATATAGACAAATGTATTATTCAGAATGAAAGTACTGTATTTTTCCATGGAAGAAACGACAATAAAAGTTAAGTAAAAATATGCAATAATTAATCATATTAACACAACTACAATAAATAGCAACATTAAAACTGTAAAAAAAAATATATATATATATACAGGGTCGTATAAGTATAAATACATTTTTCAACTGTAATA